AACATCAAATCTACAACATTACAACTAGGGCTGCACTATATATTAAAAAAATATTGTTATCGCGATATTGGTGCGTTTGATATCCAAGACGCTCAATAAAAAATTATATATATATTTTTTTTACTTTATTACAGACAACAAAACAGACAGACACATCAACAAAATACAACAAAAAAGTGTATAAATATATGCATTTGAATGTCATTAATGTTGTGCTTATTTTATGTTATTGGTCTCTTGCGTTTCAATGCAGATTGCAACTTTAGGTGAAAGACAAAAATATCGCAATAATATCGTTATCGTAATACTAAACACTCATATCGAATATCGCACTAATTTCCAATATTGTGCAGCCCCTAATTACAACATGTTTTCACTTCAAGTCTGACCTCAGTGGCAGCCAGTGTGCACCTATCCCAGTCTTGATGGTTAATCCGACTGTAATCAACAATGAATTTGATTATCTAGAGAATTTTAACGACACTTTTGTTGCAATTATGTTAAAGCTGAACTCGTCATTAACAACAGTCTGCAGAAGTCAGTGATTTTCCTCTTGATGTAAATTTCTCCATTGTGAGATCGATAGAGTTAATCTTATCTTATGTTTTGGTTATCTGAAGGTCGAAGCTTGAATTAATGAATGAATACTTTATTTCGAGCCATGGCAAACGAGAACAAAAACAAAACAACAGAATAGAAAAAGAAACAATACATGATGATAAACTATTATTCTGTATGTTTTGTTTTATTAATAATAATCCAGCTTGAAAAGGAGTGGGAAGAGTGAATAGTTAGCTAACATTACTATTGGTGCCGTGGCAAATGCTCAAAGGAGTGTCTATATTTTATCTTCTATAAAACCATGTGCACACTGCAAATCTCTGGCCGTGTCTTTTTACCAACAATAAAATGTCTTCTGCTTTGACACGATCCCAGACCTCTGCGTCTTTTGTCACTGTCTTCCGTCGGTGGAGGGATTAGTTGGCCAATTATTCTTTCTATTTCTACATGCTATGTTCCTGTGACGTGTCTTGTCAGCTGTTTTACACAGATTTCCTGCGGTCTACAACTGTCAAAAAATACTGTTATTAAAAATAGAATACACATAGAATCTTTCAAAACACCAAAAGAACCTTGCTGGACTATATTCTTTTGATTAGTTGCTTAGTTTACATCCAAAAAGATCAGTGGATATGGGATTTTTTTTGTATACATTTGACCAAAACAAAGTCCAATTGAAGCCTCTGGAGAAACATCTTCATAGAGATTACTTGGTTGTTTGATTAAAGATAAATTGTAAACACATTTTCGTTTAATTCTGCAGTCTGTGATTACTAAATTGCCAGATAAGTTGCCAGCTATTTAAATAATGGATGAACTTGTTACAGCCATAATGGTCACACTCATTCTAATGGACTGTTCTAACTTTATCTGCGTCACACTGTAAATCCATACAGTGGAAGAAAGTGCCAGATAAGCGTCGACATTCCTCCTCTCTTGCTGCTGTTGTTCTCGTTTGTTTGCCCTCTCACGCTCCGCTTTTGGGGCCGTTATCAACAACTTGTGAGCAAATGGCGCACAGCAGGCATTGTGTCACCAAGTCTCGTCGGCAAGAAAGTGTAATTGTCGACGATAACGTGCAAACAAGCAGGAAACAATGGCTGCGGTTGTAGAGAGACAGCTGCAGGAGACTGTGGCTGTGGAGGTGGGATGATCCTGGCAGCCCAGAGCCATGCAGGTGAGTGGGGGGGGGGGACGGAGGACCAGACAACAATGCTCATTGATCACAGTGTTAATTCTGCACTGAGCTGTGATTACTGCGTGTCCTCCGCTCACCTCTCTGCGCTCGGGGAAAGACGGCCTTGTAACTGTCGCTGCCAAATGGATTCATTTTATGGAGCAAGTGGCATTCATTTGTCTTTGCCTTTCCCGTTCAATTAATCGCAATGGGGAGGTTCTGGTCTGTACGTGTCTTAGAGAAGTGTGGGTAAAATATGGAGGGTTTTGGGTGTGGAATCTAGATGGAGATGGATAAATGCAAGACATCGTATTCCAGTGATCAGGTCTTTTAAGGTCACGGCGAGGTGACTTCAGTCATGTCTCTGTTTTTTGGACGAGCTCGCACTTGTGGATTGGCATCTTTTGTTGTGACACAAATTCTCATTTAAAATGCTTGCTCTGTCTTTATTCTGTCTGAAAAAACATGAAAAAACTGGAAACTGGCCCACGAGCATTTCTGCTTAAGATCCTGTTTAAATTGTTTATCATTTTTTGACAAAAAAAAATCCTCTATTCATTGCTGTCAAAAGTATTAAAATTCAGATATACAGGCGAAAATAGTAAAATTAGAATATTATTCATTCATCATTTATTTCTGTAACTTACAATGTGAAATCAATACATGACTCATTACATGCAGTGTCATATGCCAAGCTTTCGTATGTTGTCATTTGGATGATTTTGGCTCTCAGTGGCTATACTTGCATGTGAAAGCCAGACCTCTGAAGCTGTGCAGGGCAGGGCCTGGTTAGTACTGTGATGGGAGACCTTTGGGAACACCAGGTGCCACAGTGGGGGGTCTGCAGCTGTAAAGTGTGAAACTGCTGAAGTGTCCTTAGGCAAGATACTTCACCCACATTGCCTAGTGAGTCTGGTGTGTGTGTGAACGGTTGGAGGTAGGAGGTCAGCTGTGACTACAGTAGTTTATCACCACTGTGGAGTGAAAGAATCATAACATGTGAAGCATCTTTGAGTGTCCTGAGAAGCGCTAAATAAAAATAATTCATTATTATTATTAATACTGCCCATTTTCAAAATAATCACATTTTCTATTTTTTTTACAAGCTTATTATCAACATTATAATGAATACTGACTTAAAATATCTTGCTTTGCGTGTGATGAGGCTAATCATATATTAGTTTCACATTGTGAAATGATGTTTATTTGCATATCACAGTTCAAACTCAAAATGCAAAACAGGAAAATAAACATTAAAATCAGTGATAAGAATCTGCAAGATTGACAACCATTAACTGCCATCTGCCCTTAAAACAAGTGCAATAGCTGCCCTCGGTTTGGCTCTGAAATCCTGGCTAAGTGGTCAATACAATGTACAGAAACCTAGAAACACGGCTAACCATAACAAACTTTGCAGCACGGCTACTTAAAACCTGTATTGTGTAAATCTCGATCGTCAGGGAATACACCACGACCGAAGCAGAGCCTTTTCTAAAGACAATAATAACAGATACTTCTTCAGTCCTTGTGCTGAATGATGCCACTGTCGCTCACAACAATGAGGACAGAGGTCAGAGCTGCCGACTCCTTTAAGCTTCTGTTCGATCAGTGAGATTCTCTGGGCACCGTTTAGCACTTCAGGCACTTTTTCATTTTCACTTTTTCATTTCCTAATTTCACGAATGTTTCTAGACTGTAATATGAGCATGATTTTTACGAGCACTCATGTTGTGTTACTGGCCATTGTTGATTGCATATTCATTGGACGAGTAGCAGTGTTACTATAATTAAAATTATAGTATATCTTTTGAATGTGAAACTCTTCAAAATATGGCATTCAGAAATCCTACATACTTTGTTAGTATTTATACTGCATTATCCCAGTCCTTTGTCTCTCATAAAACAAGCTATTGTATGTACATGCAAGATATAGTTACTGAGGGAATATATATCCATAATATTATAAATAATATTACCAATAATGGGAGGTCAGGCTGGGAGATCTGGAAGAAACAATAATCAAGACTTTTGAGTGAATTGAATTAAAATCAGAACAAAATAACTGGCATGAAACAAACTATATTGGTGTGTTACCGACTGTGTTTAATATTTCCCTTTGTCCCCAGAAAATTGTTCTCATGTACAAGTCATACATTAATAATTGTCTGCTGATTGGATAAGCAGATTATCCAATCAGAGAATAGAATGAGTATTTCGTTTGGGTTGCCAGTTTGTTAGAGCCAGGACCAGCTGAATTTGACCTATCTAGCTAGCAAGCTACATGTGTCACGGGCAAGTCAGATTCTCACAGTAAAGTTGAAATGTAATTGTAATGTCTCTTTACCAGTAAGAGTGCATATTACATACAGTCCCTTTAACTGTGCTTAATAATGTATCCTATCACAGTGAAAAGTGATGAAACATGAATGAGGGAGATAAAACCGTCTTCTTGTCTTTTTAAATTCACAATGAACTCCACTTCTGCCCTTTCCACTGTTACTGCTGCAATACTGATGTCTGTCGATTTTAAATAGAGTTGATAATCACGATCTATCAATTAAGTCTTGATTTTGGTGCAGCTCTGTACAGGCTTGTAGAAGTCTCTCAAAGCGCTACACTGAAGTCACTGATTGTCTTTACCATTGGCCCCACCGACCACCACCGGACACCCACAAAATCATGCAAAATCCTAAGAAAAGTGAGGGATCAAACCCACAACCTTCCTGCTGTGAGGCAGTGCACTATACCTGCTCAGGCACCGCGCTGTGTCCATGTTGGGAACAAAAAGACAATTTGCATAAACGCTTTCGAACAACAATGTGCATTTCTCAACCATATTGCTTCACCCAAGTGGCACGAACTCTTTGAAACTGTTTTAATGAATACTTGATCACAGTCCCTGGAAAAGAGTGCTTTTCTAATTGAAATTTTGGATTACTTCTTTGTTTGTGACCTTTTCCTGCACTACTCCAGACCCGTCTTTGTTCTCGCTTTCCTCAAATGAATATTGAAATGAGTGCGATTTGCCAAACACCTACAGTAGCATTAATTAGGCTGCATCACAGATAGGCTCTTCCATTGTCAAGGTTTTTAAACAACCGCAGACCGTGTAGGTGGAGGTTAGATGATTTCTATGCATCTTTTTTCCAGGGAAGAACTCTTAGGGGGTTCATAATGCTTTGTTAGTGATTTAGTTTTGTCCCACTCCGCTCTCCTTATTTCCACTTTGTCAACCTTGCATCCTCCTACTCTTAATTTGCAGAAACCCTCATGGACAGTCGATGGGCAACCACAGAGCTGGCGTGGACCACGTTCCCAGAAAGCGGGGTAAGTGTACTAATAAGTGCATGTGTGTTCTTGTGTTTTTAAAGCATTTGCTCCATTTGCTTGTTAATAGGGCCCAGACTGCCTCATCCACTCACCTCCTACTGTTTTATGCCTTTGTTTTGTGCCATGCTTTAACTACTACAAACGCAAATAAGAAACACATTGTATGGCATAGCAGGAAATAGTATACAAGCTTTTTTAATATGTTGAGAATAGGAATTATAAAACCGAGCGCATTGCCGCATTAAAATCAATGCAATTATATAGTACCACATTGTTATCAACAAAGAGGGGATCATTAGGAACAGACCAGAAGTGCCAAGTCAATGCAAAAAAGATGACGTCATCTGCTGGAGGCTTATTTCCCTTCAGGGACACAAAACAGACCTCCACTGTGCTCTACTGTAGGGGGAACTGATTATCATGTTGGAGGCTCTGGGTTGTTTACATGGACCAGTGGTATCCAAAATGACCACTTCTTAAGAGTTGATATTTAACCCTGTAGAACCCTGACATAAAATCATCTGTGATATTTTTGGGGAAGGCAGTATCTAATGACCAAATTTGGCAATGTAGCGTATTTGCTTCTTTGGGTACATACATTAGTTAATGCCTTGAATAATCATAAATACTTCTCTTGCCATAACCATTGAATTTTGTGTTGCATATTTATAACCGAGGGTGCAACAGGGTTAACTGTGGAGTATTTGCTCAGTTTCATATTGTAAATCTAAGCAAGAGACGTCACTTAATCTTCGCTGCTGCTGATTGGCTCTTGGTTGCTCGGCCGTTGCTATCCCTGAATTTGCGTAAATCCAATTCATATAGTTCGAGTTACCTCTAATTGTCTTCTTCCGCCATAATGCAAACGCAGGTGACGTCAGCACTGGGTTAGTCCACTCTTTCTTTCCACAGCCCATGTGCAAAGGGCTTTTTTCTGCACGAATTAATTTGAAATGTTGTGCAACCTTGCTCCTACAAAAAGGAGAAATCTGTGTGAGATTTTCCACACAATCAAATGGACAAACAAGCCGATACATTGTAGATTACGTTGGCTTTGCTCTCCTCAGCAGGACAGGCACCGGTAATTGAAAGCATGTGTCTGTCTTTTATAATAACAGACCCAAGAGCGCATTACCGGCAGGAATTAGACCTTTTCAGCTGATACCCCCTATAGGAGCGGTGAGAAAATAAAACAACATGAATTTGACCCTGGGGCTAACAGCCTGACAGACCTCCCCCACTCGTAGCCGGTGTAATTTGTCTTCCCTACGTGAGCGCAAAGTCAGTCAATGGAAATGCTGGGTTACCATGGAAACGGGCCTAGGCACAGCCACTCATTGCCTCTACCACCACCCCTGTTACCCACCCTCCGGTCTCCACATTCGAGGGCCAGTCTCGTACGTCCTGCCAGCCTATGAAGTCATATGTCACGCAGGCGAAGGGGGCAGACCTGCTCCTCTGGCCGGCGATTATCATATTTGTCAGCCCGCGCACCAAACATGTTGCCGGTGATTTACGGCAGCGAGACGACCAGTGTAGGGGCTCATCATTTGGGAGTAAATTGCACGCCAGCGCCAAGACGCGGGATGAGTTATGCATTATTTTTTTTCCTGTTGAAATAATCAATATCAACTGAACTCATTTGTTATGGAAACTAAGCATTTGGTCCAAGAGGGAATTAGCAGGGAAAAAGATTGACTTCGCACAAGGTTACTTCCTAATGGACTAAATATATTGACCACAGACACGATTTATCATAGTCTAATGTTATTCACCATCGGAAACACGCACGGTCACCAGCACCAGACCCCGGACAGGTTTAGTCCTTCTCCAGTTCATCAATATACTTTACACACCTGTTTATAGATGCACATTTTGATCCATGGATCCTTCAATCATTGCAATTTCGACAATCTCCATGGAAGCATCAATATAATATGTTAAAGAGGGCTGGAATGAGTATCATACTGTAGCTCTTTAGTTGGTAGATATTAGATTGCCAATTCCAAATCTGAGATCGGTTTCCAGTGGATGTCAGTTCAAACCAATTAAAGAAGCAGGTTGAGTTTAATTAATGAGACAGAAATTATGCCAAAACCTTATTGATCAAACTTCATTATTTGCCAGACAAATTCTAAACAGATTGGATCTCGTCTCATATGGCCCCATATTTTGCTCACGTAGTTAATTTAGCTGTGAACGAGGCTTTCAAAGTGTTATGTAGGAAAAGAGTGAGGCCCTTCTTTGAAAAAACCATTGCCTTTGAAATAACTTGTTGCTGGCTGAATGATAAGGTATGATAGAAGTACAGTTTTTAAGCTGCGTGACTGCCTTCCGTATCTTTTAATAGTTCCTTTGATTAACTCGATTTCTCCTCATTACGCTGCAGGGCATATGCGGCTCGGCTTCTGTCTCACGCATGAGATAAAATGACGCTGCAAACGCTGAAGCCTTCATCGTACTATGTTTCTATATGTTATCCTGGTGCGCTGTCCCCTGCACAACAACCATGTTGATTTCGATGCATTTATACGAGCATTTTAATACATAAGTAACGGTTTGCATTATAGATGTTGTTCTATACAGAGGGACTGCACGCCTTCCCACTCGGATCCCCTCATTTATCTCTTCCTCGATAACAAATGTATATGTTAAAGAAACCAAATCTCTTCTTGAGGCCATTTTGATTGTGCTATCTTCGCTGCAGCGCTGGATTCGGCTCCTATAGAAAGCTTTAATAGCGACAGTCTGCAGTTTCAAAAGTCCTGAGCTGCACACGCCACAGCTGCATCCTCCTCCCTTAACCTTTAACTCGTGATCTCGATCCAAACTGTTATTCAAATGAGCCTCGCGCGTGAAATGTCTCTAATGGGAAAATGTTACCTATTAATAGTCCATAATGATTGGAATTTTGTGAGCGATTCAAGCAATTAAAAGCGTTTTAGCTGCAAATTATGCGTCACCGGCCTTGCACTGATCACACTTCTGGACGTGCGCTTCTGTATCGACATTACACTCAAGGGCTTTTTGTTTTTCTGCGCTTAGATCATACTATATTAACTTTATTTAACCACAATTGACATAGACAATTCTAATATAAATCAAGTCAAACTAATCACTATGTTTACCAAGAATGAAAACCTGTTTTAGTGTTTGTGATGCAGCATGACATCAGTGTCACGGTCGATTTGGTCATGTGATCGAGTCCAGCTGAGCCTCTCCTCTCAAGGCTCCGATTGGTTGGTTTATATTAACAAAGGAGAGATGAGGAGGCTGCACAGACAATCGGTTTGGAAAGCCATACCTGAGCGTAGACAAAGAAATGCATATATTTACACATTTATTCTGATTATAGAATCCAAACGCCTAAAATAGTAATGTCTGAATGTGTTTTATTCCTCAAACCAAGATGGTCTCCAGAAGCTTCCAATGCTTTCTACCTATTTCCACCATTTTCCTCATTTTAGCAAAGTCCATTGTGTCGATGTCGAGATTATTTATGGCTCTAATTGGTCTTATTCTGTAGCTAAAGCTAATTACTCTATGAAACAGATATAATGGCATGTTAAGTTTATAGCACCATTCTTCTGTTTAGGCTCTATTGTTTAATGAGGTTACACAGACAATGAGGTCATGTCCACTCTGCAGAACAAACATTTCAGGGACAAAAGGCTCACTAATCGCCTACAAGGAATTATAGAGGGAACAATCATTCAAATATCTTCTGTGTCTATGAGTGTTTCATTGTATTATGTTGATTTAATCCCTTTGGAAGTGTATGAATGTAGTGTATGAATGAATTGGTTTTACAGCTCTAATTAAATCCATTAAATGAGAATTTTCTTCTGCATGTCCTTGTTCTTATCCTAATGCTTTCCTGTCTTCCCCTCTTCTCTGTTCCCATTCTCATGTCTCTTGTGTCCACAGTGGGAGGAGGTGAGTGGCTACGACGACTCCATGAGCCCTATTCGGACCTACCAGGTGTGTAATGTCCGCCAGCCCAACCAGAACAACTGGCTCCGGACGGACTTCATCCCCCGCAAAGAGGTATTGCGGGTCTATGTGGAGCTCAAGTTCTCAGTGCGTGACTGTGCCAGCATTCCAAACATCCCCGGCTCATGTAAAGAGACCTTCAACCTGTTTTTTTACGAGTCTGACACCGACACGGCCACAGACTCGAGCCCCCAATGGAGAGAGAACCCGTACGTCAAGGTTGATACCATAGCTCCGGATGAAAGCTTCTCTCTTCTCGAGGCGGGAAGAATAAACACCAAAGTGCGCAGTTTTGGCCCGCTGTCCAAAGCTGGCTTCTATCTGGCCTTCCAAGACCTGGGCGCTTGCATGTCTCTCATCTCGGTTCGTGTTTTCTTCAAGAAGTGCTCCACCACTATTGCCAACTTTGCTGTCTTCCCTGAAACGGCTACAGGAGCAGAGGCCACCTCTTTGGTGATCGCACCTGGGGCCTGCGTCACCAACGCCATGGAGGTGTCCGTGCCTCTCAAGCTGTATTGCAACGGAGACGGGGAGTGGATGGTTCCTGTTGGATCCTGCACGTGCATGGCTGGTTTCGAACCCTCGTCGGACAGCACACAGTGTCAAGGTAAGTGTATTTAATGCACAAGCAGACCTTTTATTTAACAAAGCTCTTTTATATGCTCGGCAGAAGTCACCTCAGCCCGTGCCCTCTTCCCTGCATTTATTGTGTGGCTCCTGAAAGGGGGGTGAAGGAGGCTGGAGGAGAGTATGAATTAATGAGGTGTTGCAGCGCGGAGCAGCATACAAATATTGTGAACAGGACAGAAGGGAGGGGAAGATAGGATTGCTGGGAAGGCACAGAATGGAGAGTCAATAGAATTAAAAAACGCAGATAATCAGAACGAAAGGCATTCAAATCCGGTGAATGGAGATATTAACTATACGTTAAAAGGTGTTATTCGCGGCCAAAGCCAAGCCGCTGATAAAGCCGCTAGTCCAACGCAGGCAGGGCACTGAGAAATAGTGTCTACCACGCGACAGGGAGCTCATCGGTTGCCATTTGGCGGCTCAAGGTTAAAAGCTTGCCGTCTGCCGTCTGATAGAAAACTCTCCAGGGCCGTAGCCAGCGGTTGTGACGAGGAAGTGTAATTTCCTCCAACAGCCCCCCGTTAGTTAATCTACAGGCGGCCACACTCATTAACAGTCAGAGCTACAAGAGCCAACAACTGCACGCAAACATAAATCACTCCGACGTTTCATTTGTTAGCCGCCGTATTGTTGCTATCCAATCGCCACAGAGAGGAGAAGGCGGCACGAGATCAGCCGATTGCGAGTGTTTGTGCGTGTTTACCAAAACGGGGGGGGATCATCTGCCCATGTGAAGAGGTTAATGGATTGAAGCGAGATGTCACAGTAATTCATATCAAAAGCAAACAAATAAAAGCAAATGATAATGGGGCTGCGTATTAAAGCCATATAAATCTGTGCGCTGGGTACAAGAGGTTCGGCAAATTGCTATGTTTTTATCGTTGGCTATTTATGGGGAGATTTTCAATGCAATCAGCTTCAGTGATTTCCCTAAAAGTGTCATTGTTGTGTATTATGAGTGAATGAGCGAGCCCTATCTACTCAATCACAAACCCGAGGTACAAAAGGCTTAAGAGACCCTCGCTGATACAACAGATGTTTACCAGAGTGCCTCCACTTTTTACTCCGGCAGTTTGGAATGTGGCGCACTGTAAAACTCTGCAGACCATTCACTGCTAATCCCCTTTATCTCAATCCTGCTCTAGTCTTTCAGACTGGTTTATCCTTAAGACTTGATTCAGGCAACCTTCTGCAGAATTCAAATTAATCTCTCCTCCGCTACGGTGACAGATTGTACTGCAACTTTTCCATAAAAAGTGACCAATTATGCAAAGTTAACTTTAGAGCTTTAAGCGATGTTACATTTATTGCTTTTCATTTCTGGGATTTGAACCTGTTTTAAGTTATTAATTTTGTCTTAAATCCAAGGCACAAGGGGTCATTCCTGTTTTTCACTTCCACCAGTAAACTTCATCAATCAATCTTTACTTGTAGAGTACCTACATCACATAAGGTATTAAAATTAACCATTAAAATCACATAAGGGATTAGTTGTCCCTACAGGAGGCCAGCCCTGTGCTCCTCAGAGTTCAAGTTGGTTCATATGGCACAGACATGTATCGGATGTGAGGCCATGGGGAGACTTATGTCAAAAATATTAATCTGTAAATACAGTAAGTCTACAATAATCAGCCTTTGGTTCAGTTTTTGTTCAATCCAAGCAAAACAAAAAAGATTATCAAAACCCATTACCAATCATGAATAATATCATATGAATGAGCTACAAACAGACTTTACACAAACGCAACACAACAATATTCCAATTTGGCCCTTGGAGAAAATAATTACCCACCCCTGGATTAGTTGGAGTTTAGAGTGATTTTGACAGGCGGACGGTGCAGCGTACGCAGTGATGCGGCCATTGTTTCAGACTTTTGTGGTGAAGAGGGAGCTGAGCCGAAAGGAACCAGTTACGGTGGCTCGGGCATCTGTTACGGATGACTCCCTGGGAAGGTTTCCAGGAGGCCAGGTAGTTGGAGCTGGCCTTGGAACGCCTTGCGGTCCCCCCGGATGAGCTGGAGGAGGTGTGTGTGGATAGGGAAGTCTGAGTATCTCTGCTTAGACTGCTGCCCCTGTGACCCGGCAAAGGATGAAGCGGAAGAAAATGGATGGATGGATTTGAAGGACAATATGATCCCGGGTTTACTTTGATTATAGCAACTACTTAACATAAAAGCACAACATCATGTCACTTTTTAGAATGACTTGTAACATGGCCTTAACTTGAAGAACTATATTAATCAACATTCTGTTTTCATGATATTGACTGAGCACCTCCAGAAAGTTAGTGTTGTTTTGAACAGGTAATTGTTTGCTGATGATTGTTGGTGTAACCATAACTGTAAACACAGCAATCAATTGTGAAGAAAAACATTGTGAAAGTATTTGACGTGAATATAATTGACAGTATATGCACAATTTTAAGTGTCATGTTTTGTACAATTTAACTGTAAAAGTAGTATATAACATACTTGAACTGAACAATAAGACAAGACAGAAATGTAATGCTCACAGATTTTTATTGCCTTTAGAGCTCTCTCTTGAAGGCTTTTTATCTGCAAGACCCAAAAGGGACTAGAGAGCATTATCTTCTAAGTGATTGCAACCTGTGCAGTTTGATAATTACAACAATGAATGTGGCTATTTCAATCGGATTTATTGTTCAACACTGGAATGCAAGGCTCTGTTTTTATTGGCAGTTTATTCTGTGCCTTGATTTGGGATAGACCAATCATCGGCTTCGAGATCTTAATAAAAGATATGTCAAATAGGCCAATTTTTGTTATTAGTCAAATCATTAGCCTTCTGGTCGACACAGCAATGATACAGTTGAACAAAACTCAAACATTTATTAGTTTCCTGCACAACAGTCCTGCTAACTGGATACGTGCCTGAACAAATAACAGGACGGAATTGGAGAAAATCACATCAAATACAAGTCAGCATCTGTTACCTGGGAGACATCTCCAATTCTGCATAACATCCAGTCTGTACAGTGCTAGCCGTCCTTTCTATTTGTTTTGTTCAATAAGCATTTGATTCAGGCATTTGAAAAGTTGACTGTAGGACTTGGATTGCATTATTTTAAAAAAAAATACACCAATATTTACAGTTATAGTGCATATTAATACCTAAGCTCTATATCAGTTATCTGCCTCCTCAATAACTAATTATAAAGAAACGCCTCTGGGATAAAAAAAAATATTTGGAACTTTAGTCCTGATCTCCTGGTTTAACACAATCTAAACCGTTGTTGTCGGTGCAGTCGGCTTACTCAGGTAGGGACCAAACCAGTTGGATTTTATCAAGAAATCAAGAATGCAAACGAGGAACTCATGTGATGCTTATTCTGATTTCTGATTGGATTATCTGATTGAGAACCAACATAAAACGCGGTAACATGAATAAAAGCATCATCCACGTGTTGATCAGAAAAGGCCAAAGCATATTTTTAATTCAAATTTGTGACTGGGGACAATATTTGAATACAAAAATCTTACATACTCTTTCATTGAGCAACACATCTTTAATAAAACATAAAGTTTTCCTGCTAGAATCTTGCAGCCGCACCTGAAAATACTGAGCTGTAAGCACTAGATTGAGTTTTATGACCAGCTCGCACCAAAGTGTTTGTAATTGAGCTTGAATAACTCATCTACTTCACGGTCTTCTGGTTTCTCTTCATTTGGACTGATTTATCATCGTATTACGCAGCTATTTTGCATGTGTTGGGCGGGTTTGTTTGTGCGGTTTGAAGCGCCAAGGCCTCGCTCGACTATGATTGATGGCTTTCGGGTGTATCCCTGTTCTTCAGAATCCTTCTCTATTCCCATTTGTCTGACAACAGCAATCTCCTGTCAGCAATCTCCAGCACGCTTATCCCCCTCTTCAGCACCAAACTTCCCTGTCATCTGAACTCTCTTCTCCCTCCGTAGACACAGATTAATGTCAGCTGTGCACGAAGATGGGAATAAAAAGATGATGCGTATGTTGAGATAAGATGTGCTGAAGTGTTTACCATCTTGAGTTTTTGTCATTAATGCATTTAGCATAGCAGCTGCAGGGCGGAGTTTGGAGCCTAACACTCTTCATTTTGTCTTTTTGCTTTTGTAGCTTGCATCCCTGGGACTTTTAAATCCAAATTCGGATCTGCGACCTGCATCTTGTGCCCAGCCAACAGTCGCACCAGTGCCAGGGGCTCCAGCGTGTGTCCCTGCCAAAATGGATTCTACCGCTCTGACAGTGACCCCCCGGAGTCGGCATGCACCAGTAAGTCGTCCTATAAGCAAGTTTAACTGTCAACGTTTGCGAAGAAAGGGCAATTCTTTTGGGGTTTTCTACGTCGCACACTGTAGCCTATTACATTTGCTTGCACTGGCTGAGTTACCCTTTCATTTTTTCTTCCGTAAATGCAAAATGTCAAACTTAATTTACTTGGGAAAAGATTACGCGAGGTTTGCACTGATCTAATTTAGAAAATCATCCAGTGTTACACTATTGGGCGAAATCCAGTCTGTGTGCGTGCAGGGTGGAGCCCATTTCTCATGAATGTGTTTCCATAAACATGTGTTTTGGTCCTGTCCGCTGCCATCTGCAGGGTTTGGACAAGAAGTGTTGCTTTGTTTGGTGTCTCTCTGCGTATTGTCTCCAAAGGTCAGTGTTTACATCCCCAAAGCTCTTTACATATTCATATTCCATCTCAGAGCAGGGACTCTTGAGATCCCCATTTGAGATCCTGTCTTTGCCCAGTGATGTTGGGTGACATGTGCGGCGTCAAGTGTGTAAACTCACCCCCGCGGGCCATTGTCACATTAGCGCACACCCACTGCCCACGGCTCTGTCCAGACCGCGCTCACAGGAACACAGTCAGCCTGGGACTCCTCGCACTTTGCTCCCTGACAGCCCCGCGCCCCCCTGGGTTCTGTCGCAGCACACTGGCACGGGGCCGGCCTTTTGTGCGAGGAGCGCCGCGGCCGGTCGATGTCCGGCAGTCTGGGCTCGGCGTGTGTGTGCGGCGGGTGTCCAATTAAAGCGGCCCCCACTCTGAATTGTGTTGGCTTAATTAGGAAGGACAGGGCCAGTAATGTGCAGCTCTGACTGGGAGTGGATCTTTCTGTGGACTTCAGACACTGAGAGCTCTCTTTCAACATCAGCCTGGGGGTGGGGGGAGGGTTCTGCGGGTTAGGGGCTGCACGGTTTTATGGAATTACATCACTGATTTTTCAGATTACCATTGCTACTTGATATGCGTTCTTATTATGTTCTAAGTGCACCAGAGAATTCAAATTTGAGGAAAAGCTGAGATCTAAACCGCACCTTCCTTTGTGCATTTTCTCCCCATATCTTCATTGGTTTCCTCTGGGTGCTACGGTTTCCCTTACCACTAAAATCATGCACAATATTCCCCTCTCCTGCTCCCGTCTCTCTCTGGGGCCAGGACTCCCCGGAAAAAGAGATTCTGCAATCTCAGTGGAACTTTCCTGTTTAATTAAAGGTCATTAATAAGGCAACTGAAATAATGTAATAAATAATTGCAGTATAAGCGGTAAATTGCAATTTGGATTGTGATTAATTATGCACCCCACTGATAATAACAAAGGACCAATTTTATAACGATAATACAGAGTCACCAACAGTGGACGGAAAGTGAAAGAAAAAAATCTTCTAGCACATATGGGATAGTTACAGGCAAAGCAGCAGCAGAGTGGAGACAGACGCATGGCAATGATGATGATGATATTTGGGTGTTTTGAAGTAAGGTGCAGCCCGAGAATTTACATGAGATGAGATTAAATCAATTGAGAATGTGTCCACAAGACGAGAAGGGATTTTTCCATAATTGTTCAGACCTTGGACAGACATATTCAATAGCTGCGATGGTTATCTTCAGACAAGTAATATTGAAAGAAAAGTCATTACAATTCATGAGTTACGTTTCTGTCCGTATCTTTTAGGAAATTTGGCTCTTTAAAATAGCCATTTAAAGTGATTTTCAAACCGAAACAATACAAATGTATGTATTTAATCCATATCACGAGTTTCTTGCTACTTAATAATTCTGTCACTTTTCACATGTGTGTTTGGCTTTTACCTTCTCTTTATCACAGACAAAAGTGATGCAGGGCCAACCACCCACTCACAAGGATCTTTCTTAAGATTTAGCAAAAGTTCAAATGTTTTCTTGTATGATGAAGGCAGCATGTTGTGGTCTGATTTAGTCACACCATTCTCCGTTACTCTCGCTATTACAAAAATGAGATTTTGTTCAAATTTATTGTAAATACGTATTCCTCTTGCGCAGACCATAGCAGCTTTGCGCTCTGTGTGTGTATGTGTGTATGTGTGTGCGTGTACATGTGTGCCTGTGCGTTTGTGTGCACCTCTGTCTGTCTGTGTTTGTGTGTTTCTGCCTCTGTGTCTGTGTGGATGTTTGTTCGTGTGTGTGTGTGTGTGTGTGTGTGTGCGTGTGTGTGTGCGTGTGTTTGTCTGTTTCTGTGTGTGTGTGCATGCGTGTGTGTGTGTGTGTGTGTGCGTGTGTGTTTGTCTGTTTCTGTGTGCGTGTGCGTGTGTGTGTGTGTACGAGGACTGCAAACGTTTAGTACTGAAGATACCTTACATCTTTTTTACTTTTTAAATGTTTGCACGTGTCTGTCTGTCTTTGTGTGCTTGTGTGTGTGTGCATGTGTGTGTGTGTGTGCGTGTGTGTGTGCATGTGCGTGTGTGTGTGCGTGTGTCAACATCTCTCATTTAACTTCTATGATTATTGCTTTGGACATAAGTGCGTACATGGTATTGTATTGTCAGAACAGCTGTGCTCGGCCTGTGAGTTTCTGAAACTGTTTATTTATTCATTCCACTGGTGTTCTGTGTTGGGATATTTGCTTGTCCTTTGCTCTGTTGCATTTGTCATTTTGCACATGGAGAGCATTCGGTTGTAATAAGAGTTAGGGGGGAAAAACACAGCCACGGGATTCAGAGCACGACTCGGAGCTCGGAGTCATTTATCACAGTATTATAGCAATCAGAGCCTCCGGTTTAATTTGTATTGCTTCGGTATTTCTGATAAAAGCTGGAAAGTGTCAAAATATCCCATTGGAATGAAGCATGGAGGTGATTGGGAGACGTGCTTTGTAAATGATGTCCCTACATGTGTTTGGGATCACCTGAGTTCTTTATGTCAGCTGCAGCCACCGATGTTGTGGAGCCAGTGTGTTTACTTTGTGTCGCACTGGGAGGTGATCATTTGTTTAGCTACAGCGGCTGTTTTATGGTCACAGTTTCTGCTGCAATATGTCGTGGACAATTGTAAATTGCAATGAAGTAAAAATGAAACTTTCTTGCTGCTACTTTTCCAGTGCACAGGAAAATGTGTTTTAGAGCCAGAGGGGGCGAGCATCGGGGCTGTTTCTAAGCCTGTGGGGTGAGGTGCTCCTTAAGGGTCATTAGTTTGTCATTTTGAGATGTTCATAATTAGAAGTGTCCATGTTAGAGCAATTTTCTTGGTTGCAATTAACACATCGCAAAGACCGCAGGTATTTCAAGTCTTTGCAAACCAATAAATCACACTTATATTGAGGATAATGCGTCTTATTTTGAGTAGAGGATTTGGAAGAAGGTTCTTGTGTCTTGGTCGGTCAGAATGATTATTTTCTTATTATTAAATTTACATCTCCTCTGTTTCTTCATTTGTAAGAGTCAAAACTGTCATGCGTGTCACAAGATTAAACCTATGTTCCCAAGCGAATAGGTCACATTTACAAATCACATGTATATGGCCTTTTCTGAACAAAAGTGCAGTTATTCTTCATTGAAAATCAAATCGGAATACAAATTATGCTCATAATATTTATGTTTACAATTTTCCAGGTGATTATCCAATCAGAGATCAGACTGATGCTTTCATTTGGGTTGCCAGTTGTGAATTATAAAATAACAAAGAAATAGTAGCACCACACATTTGTTTGATTGAAAGCAGATACAAAAATAAGTCGTTATACGTAATACAGAGTTTATACAGTTTCTAGCTAAACCCCAGCAGGTGGATTGCCTCAGTAATCTGTGCTTAGAAGCAACACGTGTCACAGACAGTTAGAATCTGAATGTAAGAGTTGACTGTAATTGTAACGACTTCATTAGACCTCTAATAATGCATATTATAGTGTTTGTATTTAACATCCTACCAGAAAAAAGTAGTTGCACCTTTAAAAACATGTGAAATATTTGGTATTTGCTTCACATGTAGTTTAAGTTATATTTCTGTTCTGAACAAATGCAGACACTTAAAAATGTAAACTGCAAAACATACTTTGCCTAAATCGTGCAGTCCTCATGCACGCCACACGTGCTACTGCAACAAGGCCTTCACATAGACCAGAACGTACACTCGGAGAGCTCATACCCCGCCAACATCATGTATCATCCTGACATTTTAATGGAAGCTTCCTACCATCACATCCCATCTACACCCAATTTCAGCTCAATTCATCCTGTACTTCCACAAAGACACACACACGAACCGCACACACACACACACACACACACACACACACACACACACACACACACACACACACACACACACTGACAAATACAACAGCCCCTAGTGTAAAGATTCAATACAGAGGAAAAATATGTTCAGCAATAATCATGAAAGGGGCGACTACTATTCTAAAATGCATCCTAGTAAACAACACAATTTCAGAACTATTCTCAATCCATATAATAACGTACAACATTAGCGAGAGGAGACTCAATAAGACCTGCAAGACATTTAGAAATATTGATATTGGTCTATTTTCATTGTGCAGAAGAAAACAGTGTTGCTGTGAAATTGCTGGAGAACTACTATTACCTATTGTTTGTTTAGAATAAATTTATAACCACATACTTTATGAACGATGAGGCTGATTGAATTTCATGTGGAGGATTACAGAGAATGTGCAATGTTTCTTATTTCATGCCTCCTCCACAACAACAGTAGGTGGGTGTTTAACTGAGCACAATTTATTGGCACAGAAATCCCTCTGGGAATACTGTGGAGCATGATCACAGTTCAGGACATTGAGAATCCTGCAAATGAATACATGGGAAATAGAAAAAAGAATTATTGAACAATCTTGGTTTTGAAGTCTGGGATGACTAACACACCTTCACCGGGCCGCCCTAAGCGGAGTGGATAGCACTCTCGCTTCTCAGCAAGAAGGTCCTGGGTTCAAATCCCGGTCAGAAGAGGGCCTTTCTGAGTGGAGTTTTCATGTTCTCTCCGTGTCTGCATAGGTTTCCTCCAGGTTCTCAGGTTTCCACTACCACTAAAAACATGTACCATAGGCCTGGCATGTGCCTCCTGTTCTGGCTCTCACTCTGTGTTGAGTGAGAGACAAATGCCCAAAAATAACAATTGTAAACCACTTCGTGACTCTGGTCTGTGAAAGGCGGTATATAAATAAAGATTACTTACTTACTTCACATTTGAGGACGTATGAGTAAAGACTGTTTTTCATCCTGAAAGAAGGTTCTGCTGTTACTGCCACATCACTGGTGCCGTCCATCCATCCATCCATTTTCTTCCCCTTAATCCATTTCTGGGTCGGGGGGGTGGCAGTCAGAGCTGCACCCAGTACATAGAGCACCAGCCCCTCACTGATCCTCCTGCAGGTGGTGAGTCCACAGGAGCCTTGATCTTTCAGTGGGGGCTTCAGGCAAAGTAGGGTTAAGTGTCTTGCCCAAGGATACAATGACAGCAGTCATCAGTGGGAGTCGTGAAGTAGGTCTTGTGGTGGGCTTGAACCCACAACCTTCAGGCCCAAAGGCCAATGCTACCATTGGTGCCTTTTGATTATAATTCAGGTCCTTGTAATTAGGATCAAACTAAATTATGGTTGCAAAATTTTGGTCTTTTAAGTTTTGATACTGCCTTTAAGAAAACCACCTTGATTTGTAAAACCAAATCAAAAATACTATTGCAATAAAAAATACTCTTATTGTTATTCAAATGTGACACCAATATTTTATATAGACTCCAAATGACTTATGTCAAGCCTTTCTTACAATGTTGATTATTCTGATTTATTTTCCAATTTTAAAATATAAAAATTCTGACATTTTGGGTTTCATTTTGTGAGCCAGAATTCAACATTATAACAACTTCACTATAACTTTTATTTTGTTGCTTTTTTCTACATTATCAGTTTGAATGTTCATGTCCCTGAATCGAAACATCACCACATATCTTTCAACCCTATCAGACAACCAACTACGCAGGAAGTGAAACTGAGGTGGTATAGGGGAAATAAATGATTTAAATGTACAAACTTCAAAAGTACAAACCGTTATGCAAATGTAAAACTCTACTACTCTTGTCCCGCAGCGATCCCCTCCGCTCCTCGAAACGTCATCTCCAGCGTGAACGAGACCTCCCTGTCCCTGGAGTGGGAGGAGCCGGACGACACGGGCGGACGCAGCGACCTGGTCTACAACGTGGTGTGTAAGAAGTGCCTTCGCGACCGGAGCCCCTGCACGCGCTGCGACGACAACGTGGACATTGCCCCCCGCCGCCTGGGCCTGAGGCAGAGGAAGGTTGTGGTCCGAAACCTCCAGGCCCACACCAGGTACAGCTTTGAGGTCCAGGCCGTCAACGGGGTCTCCGGGAAGAACCCTACGTCACCTCGCTACTCCACCGTCAACATCACCACCAACCAGGCCGGTTAGTAACACACAACTTTCCAAAGAACATATAAGTTAAAACCAGCTCATTTCTCTGTCATTCCTGGGCCAGTCCACACGAAAGAAAAACGGTCGGAGATGTCAAGACAACGTCTAAAACACATACGCATAAGGCTGGCTTGTAGAAAGGAATCACTAATCACCAGTGTTGGGCACGTTACTTTGAAAAAGTAACTGAGTTACTAACAGAGTTACTCCACAATAAAAGTAACTAGTTACCAGTAAAAGTAACTATTGCGTTACGTTTTCGTTTTGTTCTGGAACATAATGTGCACTTGAGGTGCGCAGTTTTACCTTTAACCTCAGTGAGTCTGAAATAGCGCCAATATTTCCATCTAACCTGTTCACTCTCCATCTCTCTTTGTGCTGTAAGCACTAAACACCAACACGCTCCACTGTGAATGTGGAAACACCGGTGAAGCACTGACTTCAGTCCAATCAGATGAACATATATATCATATAAATCAAGTGGACAATTTGTTTGGCCACAGCAAATTATGTTTCATGCCCGCATTGTTTGTTCATACAAAACGCAAAACTATGAGTTATGGGTCTTACCTTATAGCTATACCTTATAAATGACCTGCACAGTCCACTTCAGTTCAGACCAATTCTGTGTTTAAGTCCAGATAATAGATATAGTAGATATGTAATCCTCCATTTGGAAATGAGTCCAATGAGTTTTAAAAAGTAAAACAAAACGCGTGTCTCCTCCGTAAACTCCTCTGTTTTGCTGCAGCCGGGTGCATCCAATTTCTAAAATCAACCGTCTTACACTTCACCTCTCTTTCTTATCATTCCTATAGTCATTGAAAAATTACCCTAAGTGCATTTTAAATTATCTAAAAATGTGTTATATGTATGTTAGCCAAACCTGTTGCTGCCCTTAGCAGATAAACCAGGAGGAGAAAGGAGCTTATCGATGGAATTGTATGCAGCCGACTTTTGCGCTCACGTGCGCTCCTCTGAGGCTGACCTCACGGTGATACAAGCCGTGGTAGAGTGTGATTAGGACCCATTTGTTTCAAAAACACAATTTATGACCATCCTCTCAACTGTAGACATGTAGATTGTAAAGGAAATATGTTTTACATCAGCCAATTATTGCTGAGAGGTTTTCTCATCCTCCCTTCTCTCATGACAACGCGCACGAGTCCTATCGAAGTAAAAAGAGAAGTTCGTTGTGCGTCTTGAGTAACGCGCAGTAACGGGATGTCGGAAATGATAACGGCGTTATAGTTACAGTCCAAGTAATTAGTTAGATTACTCGTTACTGAAAAAAGTAACGGCGTTAGTAACGCCGTTACTAACTTGTATAGACATTCATTTAAAATACTAATTGTTCCTATTTTTTACTGACTAAAGCAGCCATTCCCAAACTCAGTAACACCGAGGCCCCCTTAAAAATCTGACGGGTCTGCGTGGCCCCCCAAAATAATAACCAAGAAGACAACATTAAGAATAGGCTCTTCTGGTTATTTTATTTTGGGGAAATAGCCTCTGCTACAAACATTGTAATACAAAAATGATTACAGTGGATTATTCAAGTCAAATAATGAACACAAATATTTTAATATTACAAACAAAACATTATAAATTTAACATTAAATAATTATTATTATTTTATGACCTCCCGCGGCCCCCCTGCAGTACCCTCGCGGCCCACCAGGGGGCCGCGGACCCCACTTTGGGAGACACTGGACTAAAGTATATGTCTAATAATGGCATCTTCACAGTTGAAAACTAGCTCTGCAGCCAAAAGTGGCACTATTACACAAATGTTCACTAATGTGCATTGCCCATAATGGTGGCTGAGTGGATAGCATTCTCGCTTCTTAGCAAGAAGGTTCTCGGTTCGAATCCCGGTCGAACAGGGTCTTTCCGAATGGAGTTTGCATGTTCTCCCTGTGTCTAGGTAGTTTTCCTCCGGGTTCTCCCGTTTCCCATACCACTAAAAACATGTGCAATAGTTCAGGTTGAATGACTGTGTGTTTGTGAGTGCGAATGTGGGACAACGGAGGCAAATTAACCAATGGCTTCAATCTGGACTGATGTGTTCATTAACATGTACAGTCCCAACCAAGTAAACAACATTAAAAATGATAAAATTTGTATAGCCTGTCTCACATTTTCTGGAAGAAAGTTCCAGATTTTAGTGGCATGAATCTGAAATGCTGTCTCTCCATGTTTAGTCCTGACTCTGGGACCAGCAGGAGGCCGGTCCCTGTGCTCCTCAGAGTCCGAGTTGATTCATACGGCACTAACATGTCACTTATGTAATTTTGACGTCTTTTTCAGCTTTTCTTTCCAATATCGCGTCTTTCCCTCCAACTGAACTAGCCCTCTACAACATGAACACAACCTATAAACGTTATGCGTCCACAAAGTGTGCTAATTCATAGAGCCGAGCGATCAATAACACTTAACATGGGCACGAGACACACTGGTTACACCGTTCAGTCAATGTCAGTCTGGCTTTAATGAACTCCTGTTATCTCCCAGTGAAGCAGACGCACACCTGCACCGCTCCCACTCAGACTGAAAAATGTAAATTACACTTATGAAAATCAGAGTCAGCATTTAGCGCACACTGACAAGCGGCGTTTTACGTTACATCCCTGACAATGTCACCTTTCAAACGCCTCGTCCATGCAGCGTCATCATCCACCAGACGGCTCTTCCCTCTCTTAATCTGCTCTTAAGCCAAGTTACAGAACCGTGGCGATAACATGGCACGATGGGAGTCACATTCACAGATCAATAGACAGTAGAACAGCGGAGGTGACACATGCTGCGTAATGTGGAGGGAGTTTGAATAATCGTTATCGCACTTGAATGTAAGAGGTGTCACCGTGTCGGATTTTCACCGTCTCATTTTACTGCACTGCAAACAAACAGTGTAATGTTTTTGTTTTTTTTTCTCATTATTGACGTCATTGACAGTGAAATCCTTAATTTTCCTTCCTTTTCAATTTTAAAACACTCTGCTTTGCTTGACCTTGGTCTTTGAAATGTGCTCCATAAAGATGATTCACTATGCTACTTTCCGTCTGTAGTCCTTGACAATGCTATCTTATTACTTACATATTCAAATATATTAACATTTAGCAGCAAATGGAGAATGTGCAAATTACTGGTATAAGGTGCAAGTCACAGTACAGTATTTAGCAGCGATTTATAAAGTGTGACACAAAAATTTCAAACAAATAAAAAACAATGGCTGTATTATCTTTTTTAGAATGTGTCAGGATGGAGTTTGTATGTAACTTAAAGACATTCTTATTCAAGGACCTGTCTGTCTCACATTACTTACACACAATCACAATAAGACTCTCAAAACATAGAAGATGGACTACTAGTGACAAAACTAGTGACATTTTCCAACATTTTGATGGATTCGAACATGGAAGTAGCAAAGAAGCCAAAGGCGTCCTTGAACATCCAAAGAGCCTGTGTTTGATGAGATTCATGGGAAATACCTGATCCTGACATATTATCAAGAGTAAAGGGCCTATTGGCCACAGCTATGGACACAATTAATAATAACAGATTTTATTTATTATGCAGTGTTTGCTCCAAACAATAGTATAATTATGTATAATGTAAAATTGTATAATATATGTATAATTTAAAATATTCACACAAAAAGTTCATTAAACATGACTCCAAATGTTTTACAGCTAAAGTGGCAAATAAACTGAATCTGAATCTGAAAGTGTGTAAACCCAGACGGTAGCTGCGTCGTGGTTCAGTCTCTAAAAGTGAGATTGTTTTAATATCTGTGTCGATCACATGTTTAGAGCTTGTCCCTGTGTCCACAGCTCCCTCCGCGGTGCCCACGGTCCACCTGATGCGGTCCACAGCAGACACCCTCAGCCTGTCCTGGCTGCCCCCGGAGAAGCCCAACGGGGTCATCCTCGATTACGAGATTAAATACCACGAGAGGGTGAGCACTCACTTTGGACTTAATCATCCAGAAACTATCCTTTTAAAAGAGCAACATTTACATGTATAATGTGGAAATGCAAGTTAGAAGAGTACTTTTGTTTCTGCGGTGTAAGTCCAAGTTAGAGGACAGTTGTGAATACCTTAAGGGGCCCTTTTAACTTTTCATCAAAACACTTAGATATAGTTGACTTTTTAATTTTGTAAATAAATTGTGTTTCTCCAAAGTTTTGTTTTTGTGACATTTTGTGAAAAAAGTGTTGTCATTTTGTGTCTCAATCTTATTAGAAAATATTGTATCTTTTACTTAGAGTCAGAGAGAGGGCTGTTTCTATGGACATTAATGTCATTCACTCAAAATAAGGTCCAAGGATGGAATAATGGGAGTGGGTTTCTCTCCTCTTTCTCCTGTGTTTTCCTTCTTTTCTGCTGTTACTGAAGTTTCCTCTCTTGTCCTTAATGTTATTATTGCCTTTATTTAGACACAGTTCAAACAACATAATTATAAAGGCCGTCTCAGTTTGATCAACATCTCCTTAACAAGTCAATATTAGTTTTCACATCTTAGAACGCTGCTAAACCCAATTAACTGTCTCCGCTAGTAGCCTGTCAGTAATATCCAGTGTTGTTTTAGAAAAATAAGCATTGCATCAATATTCATTCACTTAGGAATTTAATGCTGCGTTGGATTTAAAAAGCTTGAGGCTATTTAATTTGCACTGAGCTCATAGTAAGAAATAAAAAGTAATTTCCACAAATGTAGCAGTAAAAATATGAAAAAAGACGTCTGTAAATAATCTGCTGATGCTGTGTCCTTCCACAACACAACATAACATACAGTTAAAGGGACAGTATGTAATATATAGTGGTCTAATTAAAAACATAACTCTACAACCCATCTTTTGTTGCCAGAATCTTACCGCCTGTGACACATGTGGCCTCTACATATTGATTATCGATGAAATCCACCTGCTGGGGTTTAGCTACAGATGGCGCTTTAACTACTTCCTTTTGTATCTACTTTTGTTTAAACACATTTGTGGTGCTATATTTTTGTTAATTTTGTTATGAAAATAAAAGCAGAGCCGAGACCAACTCAAAGTCAACTACCAAACTGGCAACCCAAATGGGGGCCTCATTCTGCTCTCTGATTGGATGATCCTGCTTGAAAACCGTAAACATATATATTACAGAGATCATGTTTATTGTATTTTTGATTAAGCCTTACTCGACTTTCAACTTTGGTTCAGAAAAGGTCGAATATAGTTTGTACATGACGACCTATTATGAAAGACATAATTTAAACTACTACTGTCCCTTTAAGCATAACTGTGAAGTAATGCTGCCAATAGAACAATAGAAATAGAACATGTTTTCTTAATTATTATTGTTACGAGTGACAGAGAAGGCATCTGACGCAAACTATATGGCAAATTAACATAACAATTATCAGATCATTTGCTCCATCATCCGCGCGAGGGAAAAGCCAAAGGGAAACGATAATTACTTTAAATAGGAAGGGCCAGCGAGTCAGGTTCGCATCGGTGTTAACAAATGCAAATGGAAGCTGCAAAAAAAAGGTTTCCAAAATGTCAGCTACCTCACTCTCAGACGAGGTAATTGGTCCGTTTAGCGCGCATTTTGCCGCTTGTGAATTGTAATCATTTGTCAAATTAAGCTCACCCCGTTGAGACTGATTGCCGTGTGTTGATTCCCAGGGACAGGCCATGTCTCACACCGTCACGTCCCAACACAGCTCGGCCAAAGTGGAGGGTCTTCGCGCCGACACCCCCTACGTGGTGCAGGTCCGGGCACGCACCGTCGCCGGGTACGGTCGCTACAGCAACCCCATAGACTTCAGCACCGGCTTGGACAGTAAGCTCCCCACTTGCTCGGCTAATGAGAATTTGCCTTAATCGTTTTTTTACAGCTACCTTAATTAGTGACTATTAGCAGGGCGTACTCGGGCTGCACGATTAATCGAAATCGCATTTTTAGTGGCTGCAATTAGCAAATCGACTGCTATTGAGATGAAAGAAGAGGACGTTTATTTATTGTAGCGGGGATATTTCAGTGTCATAGGATTGTCAAAAGTAACCACAGTCTTGAGCGCTGAAGAAACAAGATACTTTTGCCAAATGTGAGGCTTTATCCCTGTGTTTAGAGAGATGAAACAGAAATGCAAGAATCAATGCTAATGTTATAAAAACAGACTAAAGAAGAGCTTAAATCTTGTTAATTTCTCTTTGTATGAGTTCCTTACGACTGTTTTATCTAATGCTAATGGAAATGGCAATTACAATTAGTCTTATCTGACTGATGTTTTTGGGGGATATTCGCACTTGTTTGTCTGGTTCACTTTAACTGGACCAAGTCTGATTCACTTTAACTGGACCAAGTCTGGTTCACTTTAACTGGACCAAGTCTGGTTCACTTCGGGCAAAAATACTTCCCATATCTGGACATACGGTCACTTGTGGTTTTAAATCCACAAATAAAGAATTTCTGCCCCAAGTGAAACCAAATTGGTCCATTAAAGTGAATCAGGGAATTTGCATAGTTTCACATTGAAAAATCGTCAAAAAGATAAATTTTTCCTTAAGGTTTCAGTTTCCCTCAAATGTTCTGTTTGTGCACTTTGATCTTTGCTTCAAAACCTAAATAGAAAATCGTGATCTCAATAGTTATTTATGAAATCTTAAGTGGATATTTATCTTAAAATCCTGCAGCCTGAAAGGAGACAAAATTGGGAATAACAAGTGGTTGCAGCACATTGGTCAGTTCATGTTTAGAACGGTATTTTACATTTGTTTTGTTGTTATTATTGATTTCTGTATGTTTGTCCAACCAAATTCAGGACATATTCTGACATATTGGATATTATCTCCACCTTTGTCCAAAGCTACACTGTTCTTTAATGTTTTTACTGTAATATTGGTGAAGCTGAATATACTGAGATGGACCGATAATGAGGGTCAAGATTCTGAATTTTGTTTGTGAATATGAATTATAAAAGGACGTGCATTTTCTATCTTGAAACTGCTTATAGCATTAAAAAAACAAAAACAAAGAAATCCTGCAGCCCACCCGTACCCCTGTACCCCCGTACCCCCTCCTCAGTTCTGTCTCCTGTGTCGGTAGGCGATCCACAGAAGTCCGTCCAGGACCAGCTGCCGCTCATCGTGGGGTCTGCCTCCGCGGGTCTCGTGGTCATCGTGGCGTTGGTGGTGATCGCCATAGTCTGCCTTAAGTAAGTGATGTTTTATTATTTATCACAGTCCCTAACTCCAGGTAATTAAACAGCGCTGGCCAAAGAGCCTCATGAAAGTTTAACATGCTTTCAGCCAGTCAAGAGGCTATAGTTAAAGACATTTGTGCTTTCCACTGCTGTATATTTATCCATGACACAAGGGATCATTAAAGAGTTTTCGAACATTGAATAATAGCCTGTTAGTTGCCAGTTTTATCAGTAATTGTATGTGAAACAGTTAAAAGGTGAAGCCCGGAAACTTTTCTATGAGATACAAGACAACTGAAATCAAAAATAGAAATAAATAAAATAAAGGTTCTGTGTAGAAAGTGTCTTGGATTCAGGAGCTCATGCAGCAGTTCCATTTTCAGGCCTAAACCGTCAAACAAATAAAATGAACAAGTCCGCTTCTGTGTTTGAGCACAGCTGAGTCTTTCCGTTATGTCATCAGAACAAAGAGGTGATGGTATAGTGTTCCAAAGCATTGTTTTTGTTTTGCAAGTGTGCCAAAATAACTGCACAAAGCTAAAAAGAAAAGTACCACTTTAAAAAAAAAAAAAAAAAAACAAACAAACAGATGAAGTAGGATGTGAATAGGGCTGTAACCAGTTAATCGATTAATCACAACTAAACGATTATTAAATGTGGTAATGGATATGAACCGTAGGAGGACTTAAACATACTGAGAAGAGGTTTTAGGACTCAGGACAATTCTAGAATGACTGCAGAATGAAATTTCAATGTATTTACAAAGTACTTTTAAGTCTACAAACAAATCCCACATTTAGCTTGTGCTTCATCCAACCCCCTTTCAAAACATATTTGTACAATTGTATGTTTTTTTTGTTTTTGTAAAAAAAAAAAAAAAACTAATTGTGTTGCTAATAATATTAATATGCTCTGAAATAACATCTTAATCACATCTTCATCTTATCTATGAATCCAGCCAATACCAACTGATCCATTATCAAAATCATTAACTACAGCCATCCAGTGGCGGGGAATATGGGGACAGAGTAAAGGTGTATGTGGATTCAGAAAATGACTAAAATGACTAAAACATCCATGAATCACTCAAAACTTCAAGTGGATACAAATAAAGATGGATTGATTGATTGATACTTGAGAATGGAAAACAATCATTTTTAACACTCTTTTGATGCCCGATGGTCGAAATATAGATATTCTTGTTTTTTTTGACCAAACATTGACCTGTAAAAGGATCTGAGTGTGACATGTGAAACGCACGTGTTGTTTACAGGAAGCAGCGCAGCGGCTCAGAGCTGGAATACACGGAGAAGCTGCAGCAGTACAGTGAGTCTGTTCTCTGTGTTTTAGTCATGCCGGTACAGTTAGCTGTGATTGAATCAATTATGGGATCATCTGATGGTGGCAGGAAACAGGTCTCAGTGCTCGCTCAGAGGAATGCCAGACAGATCAGCTGATCCAATAACATGGTCAGAATATAACATGTGTGATCCTGGATTTTATACAGGTGTTCTGTGCAAATGGTGAAATAATGGTTTTCTACATATTCAATGTATACTAGATCAAATGTTCTCCAATCCTCTATTCACAACTACAAAACAGTTTCAGCATTTGGCATTTTATAATTAAGATTATATTAGCAAACCTGATTAATTTCTCTCTTTGACAAGAGCTAAACGTTGAGTTGATAAGATGCCTTCTTGCTCACTTTGAACTCTTGCATTAGACCTAAACTGTTTTGATCTGTGTCCAAGTACAGGGGGAAAAGAAAATAAACTGCCAATTATCAATATTGTAAGAAATAAAGAATTTGCCAGTAATGATTCTGTCATATGTTAGTTTCACTTTGTAAGCTGAATTACAGAAGTAAATTGACTTTTGAACAATATTTAAATTTTCCAAGTTTAAAAAAAGTTGGTTTATATTTAAAAGCACTTTCATAATCTCACTTAGGGCACATTGACACTTGTTGGTCTGGTTCACACCAACTTGAACGAGACTCTGTGCACAGTACCACTTCCTGGTTCAATTAGCGCAAGCACTCCCCAAATTTGGTCTTGTGGAGGTCCTGAAGACAGTGGGTGGATTACTTACTTACTTACTTACAAACCACCAAAAATTACAATTTCAACATCCGCTGGTCACTTACGTCACCTTAGAGTTAACCAGAATTGGTCCAGTTGCAATGAACCAGCCTAGCAAGTGTGAATGTTGAGCTAATAATGTTTGTCTCAGTCTCTCCAGGTGTCAAAGTCTACATCGACCCCTTCACGTACGAGGACCCTAATGACGCGGTGCACGAGTTTGCCAAAGAAATTGACATCTCTTGTGTGAAAATCGAGGAAGTCATCGGTGCAGGTAAAGAACGTTGTTGTTTCTGTCCCTTTGTTGATGAAAGATTTATTTGAACTTAAGTGCTGCGTGAAGCCTTAAGGTCAATGTGTTCTTCTGTGGCCTCTCTGAGCTCAGGCCGTGCATGTGAGCTGCTGCTGGAAGGAGATAAGCCAAATCTTGCAGTGTCTTCCTGCCTGTGTCTCTATGTATTTATTATTTTCTAGCCGCATGTCATGTCCTTAATTGACCGTCTTCTCCTGCACGTTCAACTATCCTACCCTCTTCTCTTTTCTCCGTGTACCACTGCCATCCTCCAAAGGCACCAAATGCAAAACGCCCAAGTTGCTGTCTCGCCCCCTCTCCCCCTCCACTGCTCCCAGAATGCTCGCTCGATCGATCGCGCTCACTCCTTCCCTCCCGAACATTTTTACTCCCTGACGCGACGCCTTTCATTATTCCAACTCCTCGACTTTCCACAGAAACTCCAGCACTTTGACAGTCCTTTCCCATTCTTCAGTATTCCATCAGTGCGTTCTTCTCCCGACACCTCGCTCACACAGATCCCGATCACCCCCACCCCCTCCCCCACCCACCCCTCCTCTTTGTCCTGCTGCAGGGGAGTTTGGAGAGGTGTGCAGAGGTCGGCTGAAGCAGGCGGGCCGCAGGGAGATGGTGGTGGCCATAAAGACTCTAAAAGCTGGATACACTGAGCGCCAGAGGAGGGACTTCCTGGGAGAGGCGTCCATCATGGGCCAGTTTGACCACCCCAACGTCATCCGCCTGGAGGGAGTACTCACCCGCAGCTGTCCCGTTCTGATTATCACTGAGTTCATGGAGAATGGTGCACTGGATTCCTTCCTTCGGGTAAGTGCAGCAAAAAGTGCACTCCACAAACAGCTGCCACAAACGATTACTTGTGTGTGGGTATCAAAGGGCCGGGCTCAAAGACAGTGACTCGCGACACCTCTGGGTTATCGGCATGTTTCACTCTGAGCAGAGCGCCTGAGGCGGTCGCTCGCTGACTGATAGAGATTAAATGTGCAATATAACGCCTGGAGACAGGCATACTGTCTCAGCTCGACGTGACTGACTGAAGCTGACAGCTTTACAAATGTACAAACTGCCAAAGGTGCCAAACTTATGGATAAGTTTTACATCAGTGATCAGCGCTCACCTTCACACAGAGCTCAGCAAACGACTGTGAGAAATGGGGTGTCACACGGCAGGTTCACTGCTGCACGGGGCCATTTTATGTCATTTACATTCAATAAAATACGGTTTCCTGCCTGGCTGCGCTGTGAAGAAGTCTACTTACTGGAGCTATTAGAGTGGTTACGGTTACTTAAAGCTCGCCCTGAATCGATGATGTGCTGCAGCTTTTAAAAAGCAGTTCATTCTCCTGATGAAACCACTCTGTTTTTACCAGGCGTCAGAAAGTTTGTTATTGAGCTGCTTCATACCACCACAAACCAGTCAATACTCAGGCTGCAGATGGATATTGAAGTCTCAGTTGGGTATGCCTTCATTTAATTAAATTCATCAACCATTTTCTATCTTCAAGAATATTACATTGTATCTGCATGACCTCCAATATAAAAAGCTATTAACATTGCAAACAAATACACAGAATTCTCTTTTGACAAGAACTACATGTATTGGTTTAAGTAGCCTCCTTATACCAGCATTTATCAGAAGTTCTTCGAACTGCCTGTAAAATTCTGACTCTAGAAATAAATAATACAAATAATATTAATTGGCCTCTCCTCTCTCTCCCAGACCACTTGGCCGTTCCTCTAAATAAAACTGTCCTTTAAGAAAATGCATTTCCCGGGCGTGTGACTCACAGCAGCTCTGTGTAATGAGGGGAGCGCAGAGTTAACTGGCTTATGTTCAGTCGGTATTTGTGTCAAGCACATGGAGGCTCCTCCAGCACATAGCCCTAGAGACAGGGTCATGCACACACACCACGTACGGGCTGGGGCACACTGCACACACACTGCACACGCACACACCGTGCACGCCTTTGAAAAGCTGCTGTGAATCATGTGTGTTTATGCACCCGTCCATCTCAGGTCGCCGTGCTGGTGTGTGACAAAGCAACAGGATGTTTATACGTTTGTCATGCTGTTTTTTTTTTTTTTTTTCTTCTTCTTTTGTCTGGGTCCAATTGGGTTCTTACTTGACTGTTAGATATTCAAGTCATGGATAAAATAGGTCCTGAGATATTTTCACATTTCACTCACTAATTGAGTATTGACTAACATTTGATTTGCTTCATTCTCACGTATCATAGTTAATAAATGGTTGAAAATCTGTGGCATTTGCCCGTCTGTTTACGGCGCTAACAAAAGCATGCTTGTTTGTTGTGGAGAATTGTAAATGAAATCCTGAGCGACCTAATCTCACGTTTGTTTCATGCTCTCTGAATGTTGACATTATAGGCCAAATACTGCAGGAGTCAGATGGGGAAATAAGCTCGGAGAAACATGCCATTTTAATTCATTTGACAGGCCAAGTTTGCTTTAATGTTCTCAACGCTAAAATGCAAACAAAGCATTTTGCCTGAAAGAATTTGTGTTAACAACCATGTGGCTTTGCCAATCTGCAGCAAGTCTGTCGCTCAGAATAAGAAACGACCTGCTGTAGCTGCCATGGATCAGTGTTTGTGTCGGAGCTGGGATAGAGTCGTAATGGTTTTAGTGCCGCTGTGAAGTGTCTAATTAATCAGCTAATTGGAAGGCATCCGTAAAAGGTCAGCTGCCAGAGAGTGTCTGCAGCGGTCATGACGCATTATGACAGATGCCATGTTTATGTCGCTCTCTGACTGATCGTCGTGGTCCTTTTATCAGCCTCACACTGGCTAATGTCCCCTCCCTCTGCCTCCGCAGTCTGCACCTTCATTAACAGCTCTGCTACTCTGTTGACACAGCTGAACGACGGCCGCTTCACTATGACCCAGCTGGTGGGCATGCTGCGTGGCATCGCCGCAGGGATGAAGTATCTGTCAGACATGAACTACGTGCACAGAGACCTGGCGGCGCGCAACATCCTGGTCAACAGCAACCTGGTGTGTAAGGTGTCCGACTTCGGCCTGTCACGCTTCCTAGACGACACGTCTGCAGACCCCACCTACACCAGCTCCCTGGTTAGTCTTCATCATTCATTCAGTATTAACAAAGAACATATATTTGGGAGCCAAATATGTGGTCAATCACTTTTTGAGTCACTGCATCTACTTTGGAACTGAAATATACCTTTTGGGGTAAAATCCATGTAACTAGTCCCTAGTTTTCTTTGAATCATACCAGCTCTCACTCTGTATGTAAAAGATAAAAGGTTTTCCAATAAGATAATAAAACAACAACAAAAACGGCATGTTCAACATCTGTTGGGACAAAAAAAGATATTGGTGGAAAAAGTTAGATATTCCGACTTAATTAAATTGGATGTTTTAATTGTGGTCTGCTGTACTCTGGACCTAAGCCCAGCTGACATTCCTGTCACAAATCACCATTGTATGTAGTGGCTTAGAGGAAAACCATAGATCAGTGAAACGTCTTAATCAGCACAATAAAGCCAGAGTGAACCCTTAGCGTTGGTGTTATTAATACTTCCACTTCTCCAGGCCGTTTGTAAGCTCCGTGTTTAATTGAGCTTGTTAATATGCTCCCCTTCACTCCTTCTACATATGTGTGACTGCTCATGTGTGCCAATATTTGCACATGAGACATTCGCCTGTTAAATCTGCATCTTATGTGTTATTTCTCTGCCTTTTTTTTCTGCAGGGTGGAAAAATCCCCATCCGGTGGACAGCCCCAGAAGCGATCGCGTTCAGAAAGTTCACCTCCGCCAGTGACGTGTGGAGCTACGGCATCGTGATGTGGGAGGTGGTGTCCTACGGGGAGCGGCCGTATTGGGACATGAGCAACCAAGATGTAAGTTCCCCAGCCATGTCAATCCCTTTTAGAAGATTTAGTGGGTTTTTTGTCTCCAAGTTTAGTGCCTTTTGAGAGTTTATACTGTTGAGACACTGCGCATTGAAGTCCGTCAGCTGGTTATGGTGTTTATCTTCTCACAGCAGATGCCGGTGCAGCTGTGATCCTGTGCTATAGTTTTAGAGAGTGCTCCACAAATCCATACTGTTAAGCCCCTCTCCTTTACACGCACATACACATACTGTACATAAATACGCACACACACACACTGTCTCTCTGCCTGTTATATAGCTGCAGTTACCTGTAGGCTATCTACAGTGCACAGACATTGTACCTACAACATTACGCCAGGACGTGGAATACAGGCAATTCTCCACTCCCCGGAAAAGTACTGAAGCTCTCCGATTCTCTGTGGAATATCTGGCTTTTATTGTTGCCTTCAAAAGACAGTTGTAACACTCATAGCAATAAAGTGAAAAGCAGGCAGAAATGAAAAATGCCACAAACGCATGTATAACTTTCATAACAAAACCCACATTCCGTAATGAAATCTTCAAAGTGGAGGCCTTGTGTTGTTCCCTATAGCTTTTGTGGCTCAGGCATCACTCAATAAGCAACAGAGTCAACAAATACCAGATATAAACAGAGGTGCGTTGGAAAAGTACCACAGAAATCAAAGGACAAGCAGCGGAGGAAAGCGGTACTTTTGTGTGGAGCTAAACCCACAGTGCAGCCGCCCAGATGAACTGAACCAGCTGCACATGCTTTTGTCCGTGTCTCCTATTGTCTTCCACAACACTCACTTTCAGGCTGACAGCTCTGAAACACTTAAAAAAAATGTTTGCATAGTTCTAAAAATAAGCACAAAAGATTTTGGAGTAGTTGACAGCAGAGTTAAGAAGCCGAATAATAGTAGAACAACAATATACAACTAAGTGGTATTTACTGTCAAATTATCCACAAATTTACTACAAAACATGTCTCTTTTTTTGTAATTCTGATACAATATACTTTTGTACTTTTTTCAGGTGATGACAGCTGTGGAGCAGGACTACCGGCTTCCCCCGCCCATGGACTGCCCCATGGTGCTGCACCAGCTCATGTTGGAGTGTTGGATGAAGGAGAGGAATCTAAGACCCAAATTCTCACGCATCGTCAACACGTTAGACAAGCTGCTACGCAACGCGGCCAGCCTCAAAGTAGTGACCAGCACCTACTCGGGGTGAGTAAGTTCAACATTCATTACCCAACAATTACAGCTGTAATACTTATAGTGTATATGTGGGATTTTTTGTATCTAGTTCTAGTGCATCTACTGCCTGTAAAGTGCCCAGTCCAAGACGTAAAAAGAGGTTGATAGTTTGGGATGGTTTAGGTCATACAGTGGTGCAGACAGAAAGGTGATGTGACTGGCTCTGGCCTGGTGTGAAATGTCTGTGACGTTGGTGATGCCTGTGGAGCATGAGGGATGGAGATGAGTGTGGCTCAGCCTCTGGGCACTTGGAATAACATGTCATGGTAAAAAAATGAGTTTAGTTTGTTCTGTGTAGAAGCATCGCTCATTGAGCTGAGAGCTTTGGCCGACAGACAGACTCTCACTCTGCTGCTTCACGCTGAAATGTAGAACAGTATCATTCATTAGCAATGTGTGTGACAGCGAGCTCCTTTACCTGACAAAGATGCAGCCTGTTTTACTGCTTTGTGAAGCTGTTTCTAGAGCTCATTTTAATGATTTTAAAGAATTGTATTATGTTACATTTCAGAACTATGCAGCATATGTTCTGGTTTCAACCCGGAAGTCTTTGTCAATTTGAAAGTACCGTTATTGATTCTGCCTTAAGGGTAGTGTATTGGAATTTTTCCTTTTTATCATGGACCAGTTCTGGACAAATGGGAGCTGACATTGGACATAGAATTGTTCAGTTTATTCTTCTGACTTCAGACAATTCTTTATCTTTGCTCATTTATGTTGCATCAATAAAGCTCTAATATAAAAATCAAACCTGCATCAGAAAAATGTTAGAGTGAATAATTTCTCTTCAGACACGGAATGTGATAATAATCTGTAATGAGGCAAAGCAAGAAGGGGAGTAGTGTTGAATTGATAATGATCAAAAACAGATGTTGAATTTTCAACATTAGTTTGTAACCCTAACCCAAAATAAACCAAACTAAACTGATCAGACAGTGGTGTTTTATGCAGTAGAAGAATACATGTTTTTGTTTAGGTGTATCATTGTTGTGTCGACCATTGGGCTGGACTAAACTAATAATAATAATAATAGTAAAAACATGTTTTGGTTACATAGTCTTTAAAACATGAAATAATTCTGACATCACCATCACACTTATGTGTATATGGGTCAATTACCCACTGATGGTGGGATGAATAAATAAAAGTGCTCATGCACATAGGGTGTGGTGCTGCGGGTGGTTTGTGTAACTAGGAGTCCCAAGGGCAGTGCCAGTGTCAGGCTGTGGGCTCACTGGAGCTAATTGTGTGGAAATGTAATGGCTGACCTCAGTTTCATTTCTGCACAAGGCTGAATGCTGGATGTAGGTGATAGGACAGACAGTAGTCAGTGCTGCTGATGTGGAAAAGCAGGAGGTGATGGAGTGAGAGTAATAAGGGAGAGTGAGAAGCAGCTAAAAGAGAGGAATGTGTTTAATTAGGTTGCTAATGAGCTTTTTAATGCTTGGAGGGCGGGCTCCGTGCACAAGTGTGTGTTTGGAGGTTGGTGTGCATGTTATGTTGCTTGTCGATGTAGGCACATGACATGCCAATGATTAATTCACAGTCTCATCTGTATGCATCAGCTACAGATACACAGAGGGAGGACCGTCTCCTTGTCAGAGCGTGATTAAGGGAGCGTCCATGTTTGCTAGAGGTTCTGAGGCGAGAAGGCAGCGCCGGCTCCGCACCTGCTATTGGCTGATGTTGAGCAGATAACTGGGAGGAGGGAGGATATGAGATGCACACTATCTGTAAAGTATCTTCAGCCAGAAGGGCCTTAAAAACAAGGACGCTTCCTCTGAACAAAAGGGCACAGACAGTGTTCTCTAAGATGGATGAGAAGCACATTCAGGCTTTAATAAAGTCAGTGATGAACAGATATGACTAAGCAGTTTTTCTGGGTGTGGCCTTAATGTAAACATGAAATGCAGATTTGTGTATTGTGTGTTTATAGTATGTGCTTATATCTATGTGTTTGGTGTTGGCAGGGACCTGTTGCGACTTGGAGGGACTCTGCCAGGACACAACAGGAAGAGTCTGGATGGCAGCCAGGAAATAGTTCGGCAACAGATGAGCCAAACTCTGCCCATCCGAGTGTGAGCTTCATGACCAACAGCTCTAGAGGATTCCCCAGAGAAGAGAAACTACCTAGAAACTTGAACATGAGGAAACTAATGTAAAATACAAGAAGAAAACGAAAAAGCAGACTTTAGCTCCAAAGAGACAGCACTGATTGGGTCGAGTCTTTCTGTGATACAAGGAACTACCCATTGAAACGTGTGTGTTCATTACTTGACACTTGTGGATTTGTGACGATCAACATAAAGCCAAACTTCTTTTGCCCCTCTCAGGTTGTGTTTGCATGTCTGCATGAGTTTCTTCTGGTAGGGCGTCAGTCTTTCTTCTCGACTGACCACGGACAAAGTTGCACACGATACAATTCAGTATTTACAACAGTGCCAAGACAAAACATTTCTTTGCTCAATATTAAGAACTAAAGACTTTGAACCCAAACTATTTTTAAGCCAACCAATGTTTATTTCTCCAATGATTTTTCTTCCTCTGAAATGCTGTCTTCCACCTGTGCTGGGAGATAGATGTAATAATTGTACAAAGCATCCAAGTCTTCACACTGTCTCTGTTGGAGAGATGCTACTGACACTGCAGGACACACCGTGTGCATGCCAAAGTGGACAAGTCTTCATGAAAAACAAGCAATGACCTACTTACTTTACTACAGCGATTGCTTTCAAACTGAATTTTTTAATCTTATTTCTCTCATATACGCATTGTTTTGTATGCTAAGTTATTATAAATGTTCGCAGAGAGGTGTTTTTTTACTGGAGGTACTGGATTTTCTTTTATATATACGATGCTTGTTTTTTTCCCAATAGGAAACACACGGACAATGAATTTTGTGCTCGGTCAGAAAAAAAAATAAAAAATACTTTGGGATTATTATGGTCTCATGCAAGTGCCATGTTGTATATATTTAAAGTTGGCAAATGTGTGGCAGATTATGAAGTATTAAAAAGGTCACTAGATGGAAGCTAAGCGACCTTAATATCGACCTGACCTACAAAACATCACTGTATTACAACCAATCATGCAACCGTTTTATTCTCCAAACATGTATAACTTCGGCATGACGGCCAGAGCAGTTCTTACCTAAAACTGCTTGTATATAAGTCTCGTAGAACCAGTCTGCCATAATCATACTCAAATATCTGACCTGACCGTGGCCTCTGTTTCTATGCCTGTTGATTGTATAGGACAAACAGTTACACTTTATGGACAATATAATGGAATCTACATTAAGTGTCAAAACTGAGAAGACATGTCTGTTTAGCGAGGCAAGCTTTTCATGTGCAATTAAAGATGTGTTGGATTGTACAAAAAATTAAAAAACGCCACAAAAATAACCATTTCTGTTTCAGTATTTTTACAATAATCATATGCAAATAAATTATTAAAGCGATCTCTGGTATTCCCTTTGAATTCTTGGCGGGTTCGCTCGGGCTGCCGCTCCAGGTCGAGTCTCTTCCGGCCCCGGCGAGATGAAAAAAAAAAAAAAAACTGAGAAGAGATGGTGCTTTACCTCATACCCCAGCTTTGGACGGACTCTTTCCGTTTTAAGATTCATCAAAGCGCAGTCTGTACAGTGCTCCAATTAGTGCGACCACACGACTATTCAGGGGGATTTCTGTCACTGCAGTTGGAGAGGCTTCAAGGAGACAAAGTTAATCTGGCCTCACACCAAATGTCACTGTTGTGTCTTTAATCCATGCGCGACTACACTCTGCAAACCATGCACAAGCGAGGCTGTTTTTTCTGGCCGGATAGCCGCTCCTTTACCAGGGGGCTTTGGCGGCGCTCACACTTAACCGTTTGTGACTGGTTGCTCAGACATCCGCGCCATCACACACCGACGGGACGACTGGTGCTGTCAGATCCTCTGCATGTTTCCAAAGCTCCTCCACTGCTCCACGTCCAAAGATGCACTCCAATGCACCAAGAGAGAGACATGTTTGAGTGCTCTGCATGTGGGCACATTGTGTGGTTTCACAACATAACCATCAAATGAATGTGTCAGAACAGAAATGGTTAGCAGCAGCTCGACTGTCACCGCAGGCGACGTGCAGCTATGATATACATCGGCTCGAAATCCAAGAGTTTCACAATTCAGGAAACGGGAATATTGTTCCTTTCAAAATGTACTGTATCTTGGAGGAGACATAACTAACCGTTCTAACCTTGTGGGTTAAGAACAGAGTTAGGACTGACCAGTTACAACAGAAACAGTTTACATGTATTCCTTATTGGAGTAATGATTATCCGCATTTGGTTTGCACATTTGCCTTGTTCTCCAACTGGGTTAGTCTGTATGAGGTGTTTAGTAAGTTGTAAAAAGTTAAAAAGTGTTTTTCCAGATTTTTCTAAGAACTCAGTGGGTTCTTGATGGGATGTGATGGGTTCAGGGTGCATGAACCTAAAGGAGATCTCTTAATCACAGAGACTGTAATGTGCTGTTAGTCACTTTATAGATTTTCATGAACAGGGCTGAACAGAGACAGAATGTGATGATGGAATGTGACGGCAGAATGATGGCCTGTTTCACTGGACCATCAGTGACGAGGCCGACAGAGATCTCAGAGATTACTCTGAGATTAACAGATCTGGCTGATACAGAACAGAACATAATCATATGGACTGCAGCCAAAGCTGAGCCAAAATAAGCATAAACATTTGAGTTTATTATGGGACACACTCCTAAGATCTGCTGGATTGGCAGAGTCGGTCTGATTTAGCAGCTTGTACAGCTGCTCTGAACACATGAGTCAGTTTTCTTCCAAACTCAAAGTGCTCATTTGCTGTCCTGTCCAAAGCAAGTTTAATGCCTCCAATTACAACGGTGGGCAGAGGGTGGATTTGGAGCAGGAGGCTTTGCAGCAGAGTTTTCTTCGCATCAGGTCCCTTTAACAGAGTAGTGATTTGCTCCTGCTGCCTGCAACGCCTCATCAATGACAACTAGCCTCTTTATGTTGCAGTGGGAAGCCAAAACTGTGAACACACACAAAATATCAGAATGTTAACAGGCAGGGTGGAGGAACCTCTGCATACAGTATCTGCCTTGCAAGCACAAACGCAAATCAAAGTCTTTTCAGTGGTAATTTCTTGTTAAATGAATTTTACTTAATTGAACACAAACTGTAGCAGAGTGTGAACAGGGTTACCGTTGCATATGCAAAAGCAGCAGTGGGAGAGCGAGAGACCAGCAGACCTGCTAAATATTCATGAGTCTAGTCAAAAAGTGATTTGTAGCTTATGCAGCTATTATTTTAATCCCTCATTACATTTATTCACTTTATGAATACATACACATTTATTTAACGGCAGAATTCTGTGCTTCAGCTGAAGTAGTTACAGCTCAAAGATGATGCCCACGTAAAACGAGGGAGCAGCCACCATTACATTTCCTTTTCAATGTGTATTCTCTTTTGACTTTTCTTCAATCAGTGTTTAACTTTCAGTTCTGATGTCATGTGGTGCAATGAAAACATGTGCTGCTCTTCAGAGGGTTACAGCTCATATCTCTTTGGGGGACCATGCAGCATTTATAACCTCAGCACATACTTATTATTAAAATACCTATAAGTGGGTCCCAGAAGGGCAATACTTTTCCACCACAAACTTTTAGAAGAACACTTCTGCCCACCACTAGTATAGTAGGTATAATATTAGCATTCATGTTCCATCCATACTGTAATTGTCTCAGTATATGGATACAGATAATGCAACTCATTCAATATTTCAGCAACAATGAGATTATTGTTATTATGATCAGTACAGTATCCATTGTTATGTGCATATCATTATTAGATCTGCATGTAAAGCCCACTGTGGTCTGTCTGAATGAGGCCTGTGCAGTGTGCTGGGACATGATTAGCATGACAGTGCACTTTGAGCTCCTAAACTTCCTCCTCTCGCCCTCAGTGGCTGAATCAGTGCATTGTGCAATCCATCAAAAAGCCTCTCAGCTCCTCGGACATTGATTAGCGGGTGTCAGTCGCCTGTTGGGTCTGCAGCTAGTGTTGGATCTAGTGAATGAGAAAGCAGTTGTTTGCACCCACCTCCTGCCAAGGATGCTCCCGGGACACAAGTTCCTCCACCAGCAGGACAAAGGAGGGGGCAGAACTGCTGATTACTTTGTGCAAAACATGCAATTCAGACATACTACACAATTATATTGTTCTCGTTGAAAATATATAGGCTAACAATGGCATTGGGACGACTGGAGTTTTATGTGGTTGAAACTGATTTTAAAAAGCCAATTTGAATATACTGTAAAGTCGAAGCATCAAACCCTATAAAGTCATTGGTTGGAAAATCTACAGATCTGATTGGTTAAACAAAATTATGGTGGCTTTGATCGATTTGCATCGGTAAGCCCCAGGGCAGCTGTGGCAACAACAGTACTGTAGTTCCACCGTGTATAGAGCGAATGACCAAAGCCATGTGGAGCATCTTTGAGGGTAAAAATAACTATATACAGGAAGTACTATGTATTATTATTATTATTTCCATTATACATGGATTATTTTAAACAAAAGATCAGTTGGACTCATAATTGCCAACTAGATTGGTACATTTAAAGTGACAGTATGTTATATGCACTCTTAGAGGTAAAATAAAGTTATTATAAATTCAATCCAACTTTTGTTGCAAAAATCCTGCCTGTGATACATCTCATAAACCCTGATTACTGGTACAATCAGAAACGGAAAATTGTGTGTGAATTCTGTTATAAAAGTGAAAAGCGCACTAAGGAAATAGCAACCCAAATGAGAAATTCATTCTGTTATTAGAATATATAATCTGCTCATATACATAAACAGTATGGACATCGTGGCCATTGTATTTTTAATTATGACTAATTTCCCTGTTTTTCAGAAAACATGATGATTCAAATTTTCTTGTTGATTAAAAACGTTTTTTGTGGTTCTTTTGAAACACAAGTTAGATGTAGCTTGTTAAAATGTTTTGGCTGCTTTCAGTTCACTGCAAGAGCCGTCCTCCTGTCCCACACCAGAGACCACCAG